TAAAACGAATCCTAAGGTATCTGCAAGGTACATTAGACTGTGGAATTACTTATATACCATCCAAAGACATTAATATCTCAGCATTCTCTGATGCTGATTGGGCTGCAGATGCCAACACAAAGAGGTCGATTTCAGGATATGTAGTGTATGTTGGTGATAATCCCATTTCATGGCAGTTGAAGAAACAAGCATCAGTTTCAAGAAGTTCAACTGAAGCTGAGTATAAGGCTTTAGCTAAATGTACTTCTGATGTGTGTTGGATCAAATCAGTACTAAGAGACCTGCATCAGGTTCTGAGTTGTCCTCCAGCTCTACATTTTGATAATCTGTCAACTTTGGCACTTTCATCCAATCTTGTGTTTCACTCCCGCATAAAACATCTTGACATTGATTATCATTTTGTCCGAGAAAGGGTTCAAAATCGAGATATAACAATGCATTATGTACCAACAGAGTCTTAAGTTGCCGATATACTTACAAAGGGATTGCATAGTCCTTTATTCATCAAGCACTGTTATAACCTAAGGATAGGAAATCCCGGCTGAGATTACGGGGGAGTAATAACAGATGTCAACAGGCTATTGGTTGATATGAAGAGATAAGGATAGATACAATAGGTATGGTTGTATTGGATAAGTCACAAAGGCAAGTTAGTTAGTTAGGAATTCTCTATATGTACCAGTATGTGAGCACTGTGTGCAGTTAATGAAAAACGGTTCAGATTTAGTGTGCTTTCTCTCTTTCCTTTGTTTCTTCTTCTTCGATACTATTGTTTGGTTTCTTCTTCTTCTTCTTTGATACTATTGAAATTCTTCTTAGTTTCTTGGTACTGTTACCAGAAATACCGGTTTAATTTCTATAGAATTTCGAAACTATTTGGGTGGAATTTTGACTCCTTTTGCAGAAGAAACTTGAGGAAAACGATAGAAATGTCTGGTCCAAGTTGGAATCCCATTTACGGGGATGACTCCTCATTGAAATAGATTGGGATAAAGGCATGCTATTTGTCCATTAATCATTTGCTCCAACAACAATTACAGAAGAATAAAAGAATGCAAACCTAACATATATAGGATTGTTAACAAAAGCCCAGCTAACATTCAACACTATTTTTCTTGACCCGTTCCTTAAATAACATACCTAAAGGGAATGACCCATTTGGAAGCTCGAACGTTTGTCAGGTTACATATGGAACGAACTTAATACGTCAACATTCCTAAGTCAGCAGGCCTGCAATCAGCATATATATACTACTCAATTTGGTATAATTGTTTGATAAGTTTATCTTCTATAATATTGTAAGTAGGAAATAAAAAGAATATTGTCACTTAGTATTACGGTTTAATGATATTTGTCTTCACTTGTAAGTGAGAGGTCTTAGATTCGATTTTTACCAAAGGTGAATTTGAACCACATTATTGCTAACACATTATGAAACTAAGTCTACCCCTTCCTCCTTAGTGTAGATAAGATAGATTGCTCAATAAAAAAAAAAGAGAATATTAACTAGCTAAGATTGGTCGATAACTTAAACCTTTTGAATAAATGAATTTCTCTTTGCAGATGGCGTTTTACCGCAATGACGGAAAACAATCACGTCTATGCATCATAGTGCAGGTTCAATCCCCATTGATTCCCCTCTCCTCTAACAAGTAATAGCTAACTATTTAACCCGCTAACACTATCGTTTGTCAACACTATCGTTTGTCAAAAAAAAAAAGGTTCCTTTGATTTTTACCACCATGCGCAAATAAACCATTGGGATTAAACATTGTCCCTAGCATCCGCAAGCCAAATGCCAGTTTTTCCTAAAACTTGCTCGTCGATATTTACGTTTTCAATGGAATTGTGGTATCATCATCTTAAACTGCCTTGAACCACACAGGCTCCTATACAAAAAAAAATAAAAATGATATAACTATTATCTTTCTCATCTAACACAATCTCAACTCGTATAACCGTCTGTCATTCTCTTTCCAAATCTACACGATCTAAAATGGAAAAGGTAGAGCAAAATCACAGTTAACATAAGTCTTACTACAGTTTGAAGTGTCAACTTACAAAACCAATCCAGTTTATGTATGTGTGATTGTACTTGTTGAGTGGATTGTGGACTTGGAGTTGTGAGATTTTGGGCCTTCAACCTTGGGGCTATTAGGCTCCTTTGGAAAATTTTTATTTTTATTAATTTCGGTTTTGTTACAATCCTATTAGTTTAGGAATATGATCATGTAAATTCTATCATATCTACGATATTCTTATGAGATTCTACCATATCTCTTAGCTTAGATATTATCCTATTAGAGTTGCAATCCTATTGGGGTAAGGAATTTATCTTCCCTACTACTATAAATAAAGGCACAATGAGGTGAGATAACACATACCTCACAATTACACATCTCTCTCTTTCTCTCTAATGTTGCCGCACCCCCTCTCTCTGTCCTTGATATGATTCAGTAATTAGGCCTACAACACGTTATCAGCACGCTCTTTACGCTACACTACAAAGAGTTTGATCTTCAATCAGGGGAGTATTATGTTTTAATCATTCTTTTTATGATTAATTTATTATTTTATTGACTTGATCTATATGCTATTGATTCAATTTAATTTTTCTTTGTTGAACATAATATAACACATTGAAGATGCAATTATGGCTTTTCGAGAATGGTTTTTTTACAAATTCAAAGGCTCAATTGTTTTCTGCCAATCAGGTTCTTTTAAAATAAATTATCATGAAGCATGAAAACATTCCACATGATACATGAACCCCCCCTATATTTATATTTTCCTTCCGATATATATTGTATATGTCCATATATTTGTCAATATATATATATATACACACACACATGTCATGCAATATGCAATTATGCTATGTAGAATTTGTGAGTCAAAACATCGAAATAATTTAGGAGTAATCCTAGATGTCAAAAAAAAAAAAAAATCAGGGATTTTGTTTTGGTGGCTAAGCCATGGCTTTGAGTTGTGCCAAGCTTGAAGCTTGGGTCTGCAATAGGGTAGCCCTTTGGGATTAGTGCTCAAATTGGACCAAGCTTGTGCTTGGGTCCCTAATGCATGGGTTTCACGTCCTCGATTCATTTTAGAAGCCAGCAACCCTTGTTGGGCTTCTTGTTATTTGGCTGTTGGAAGTATGCCCACAAAGTCACTCATTTAATGTAATAGCTTTTGGAATACTCATTATGTTAAACTATTATTTGTCTAACGAAGGGTAAAGCTTATTTATAATCATTGTTTGTTGTATCATGTGTTTAAGCAATAGGGGAATCTAAGAATGTATTTGTTCTAAGAGAGAAGTGATCTAAGTAAGTTAGATTAACAAGACCTTTCTCTTATGTCCATTCCTAAAATGTTCCTAGCCATAGGATTGCCAATTAGGCGTTGACAATCCGCTAAGGTTAGTATGTGTTATGTTGACTCAAGCTTGAGTATGACTAGTCTCAAGTCATTTAGTGTTAGACACTTAGACAAACACATAGGTGCTCGAAAGGGTAATCGAGTACATTGAACAACGATCAAAAGAGAATTCAAACATAAATGTCATGCAAGAGCTCATAAGTTGCAATATGCAAAGTAGTCCTTTGACCTGAGGCATCATAGTTGTCTGAAGGGTATCTTTGACTATGTCAAAGGAAGTTCATTGAGAGTGTATTGTTAGGGTTAAGCTATCTAGTCATGTAGGCATGTGAATGCACAACAAGGGATCTCTAACCTTCCATGGTGGAAGAAGCATACTCTAAGATATGATTCAGGAGTCTTTGGCTAAAGCGTACAATATGACTTAGGAAGAATGTTCCAAATCATTATTCAATTGAATCATATAGAGAAGTATCACATTGGATAGTAGACATGAAACAAACTATCACTTAAACAATGTGATTAAGAGTATTGTATTAGAGAAAGACCGTATTGCATTGTAGTTGTAATCGGATAGGTACTCCAACCACTTTTACTTAGTTTGGGTAGCCATGACATACTGCTAGATGTCACTCATGGTTTCTGAAAGCCTTGAATATTAGCAAACACTAATCTTCATTAAAGGGAGAATTGAAATGTTGTTTCAATTCACAATCGATCGTTAAGAGTTACAATCGCCCATTGCCTCGCTAATAGGAACCTAATGGATTGTACACCGATTAAGGATGAATGTGAAGAAATATAAATGAGATGGATAAACAATTAAATATTTTAATTGAGAATGATCAAGATTAATTAATTATAGAAAAAGTTCGTATTAGGCCTTTTTAAGTTAGTTTCAGGCTTCGAAGCCCAAAAGGGTTTTGGTCCACTAGACCGATTATGTTTAAGTTGTATGACAACTAAAACAAAAATGAGCAAATAGCCCAATCACTTAAGGTGGCCAGCCATAGTGAAAGGAAGTGGTGAGTTATTAGTGGAATTATTGCAGTGTTGAGTAGGCCGACAATGGAAATTTTGAGGATGAAATTTTTATAAAGGGGGAAGGATGTGAAATCCCATTCCCGAATTTCACTATTTAAAATTACGTATTTTTTATTCTTAATTTCAACGTGTTTATAATTATGGCGTATAATTTTTTTCGATAAATAAAAGGACAAAAATGCCCTTAATGAACTAAACAGACTTTTCAAGGATGTATTTAATTCCTGTATGTTTTTTCACTTTTATTTACATATTTGGATAGAGCTTGACCTCACGAGAGTGTAGGAAAAAACCGTTCGCCAAATAGAGCTATAACGAACGAGATATAAACGAGCAAAGTAAGGGCAAAATGGTTATTTGACGATTATCTAGAAGGCTCTAGATTGCTGGAGCAGTGATATGGTGCCAAGTATGTGGCCAAGATGGGAAAAAGAGGAGATAACTAAGGGAAAAGAAGGGGAATGAGCGAATTAGGAGGAGAAGAAATGAGGGAAATGCGGGAAGAGAGAAGGAAGGAACACGAACCTCTTTTTGACATGCGACCCGACCTGACGGCTTCCACGGTTTTCGACGCCTTTCATTGTGGTTTTCTAATGATTTGAAGCCACTCACCACTTGGAAAACATTCCACAATCCTCCCTCTTCCATTTTCATCCAAAAATCGATGGATTTTGGCCTAGGTTTTGTGGATGTCGCGTCAATAGGCTTCAGGGATGCACGACGACGAATGGTCAATTCCGCAAGCATCATCGTCGATCACCACCATCAATCAACTCCTCTTGAGCCTAGGAAAAAACCCCAAAAAAGTTTGGGGGGCGATGGAGCACCAGAGAAGACGAATCGAAGTGCACCCATTTCAAGGGTTTATGGTGGATCAAGGCCATTTCAGGCATCTTCCTAGCCGAATTAGACTTTGGCCCAGGTATGAAAAATGTTTCCCTCATTGAGCTCTACATGTTTGTAAAATTTGGTAATTTTAGGAATTAGGTGAATTTTTTGGCGAGTCGGGGTGGTGTGTGGTGGCGGCGTGTGGCCCGAGGACCCACTTGACCCTTCTAGGATAAATTCAATACCCTGATTCCATATGTGACATTCGATTGACAAAATCCCATCGTTTGAACGTATTTTCGTTAGAGGTCGCCACTTGATCATTATAACAATCGAGGACCCAGCCGTCGGATTGTTACCAAACTTTAATATGTTATTATATGTAATATTTGAGGACCTTAGAAACTTACGGATTGGGAATCCGACTTACAAATCTTCCCAAATTGAACTTCTAAGTTTGTAAAACCAAACGTTGACCACCTCTTAATTTTAGCGATTGGTAGAGATCCAATCGTTGGATCGTTCCGAAATGTTAGGATATTGTTCTAGAAGATTATTGAGATTCTTGGGAAATTAAGGATCAGAAATCTACAGACGGATGCTCCAAATCGAATTACGCAAGGTTGTGGACCCCACCGTTGACAAAGTGTTGACTTTCGGCACATGTCTTGAATCATTCTTAAATACTAAAATTAGTACTACTAAAGACTAAGTGACGTCTAGTGGACCTACATTGGTTCGTGACAGACTTTAATATATGTGATAGGGTTATTACCCTGATTTCGTATTTAGAATCTTTTGTGGATATCACTTAATTTTATAAATGTGATTTCTAGTGAAATGTGAAATTTTTATTTTTTATTTTATATATATTTACCAATTGAACTATGTTTATTAAATGTGATTTGACTTATGTGTTGATGATATTTGTGAAATGTGATTTGAAGTGCTAGTTGGATTGTTTGTTAAATGTGAGGGCTAGCAATGGACCGTTAACCCATTGTCATGGCATTTTGTTGCTTCGATATCATTTCATTTCTTACTTCGTTGACCCGTTCTAAATTTAGTACTTGTGCTTTGTTTAGTTTCGTTAAGCCTTTGTATATTAAGCACTTTGGTTCATGTTTTGTTTCTTCAAGCCATTGTTATGTTTCTTGGACTTCCGCTTGATTCCATTGAGTGGTCTGGAATTGGGTTCTGCTGGGGTTTCGTTGAGTGGTTCGGTTCCCTGCTCAGTCTCGATTCTGTTGAGTGATCCAAAATCGTATCTTGTTTTGGATTTCATTGAGTGGTTTGATATCCATTGTACTCCGCAATTCCATTGAGTGGTCTAGAATCGTATACTGCCTTGGATTTCGTTAAGTGGTCCGATATCCACTGTACTCTACGATTCCATTGAGTGGTCCGAAATCGTATCCACTCGAATTTCGTTGAGAGGTCTGGAATCCCTTCTACTTCACGATTCCGTTGAGTGGTCCTGAATCATATTCTGGTTTGGATTCCCTTCAGTGGTCCGGAATCCCGTTTGGTCCTTTGGTTCCATTGAGTGGTCCGGAACTCAAGGTTGTTGGATTTCGTTGAGTGGTCGGAAATCACATCCTTGGCTTCTCTGATTCGTTGGATTCGGTCTAAATTGAGAAAGATTCAGAGATGTGGGCTTCGGCCAAACTGTGACACTCTAGCCCTGAATTTTGATGTATTGTATGAGTTATAAATTGATTTGATTGTGGAATGGTATTGGAAAGCATGTGTGTGTAAATGGCAAGATGACAACTCTTGCTTAGCTTATGGTTGATGTGTAGTGTGGTACTTTATGTTGTCCGCTATGAAGTGTTTTATGAACAATTCAGAGTTTAACAAATGGTGAACTATGAATGGCTTAATCTCGTTGGAGCGTACATAGGCAGTGTAATAAAGAGGTTAGATGCAACCATAAAGTAAATGAAAAATTCCTACGCAATCCGAATCTTGAGTTGTGCTTTGTCCATATCCTAGAGGCGGGGTATGTTAGCTATATGGGTACTTGGTGACGTCATGTGTCGATCCTAGACGTACGTCAGGATCATGGCGTGGTAACTTTTATTAACCTCTTTAGGGTTTCTTTGAGGCAAAGAGTGAAACATTTTCTCTCTTTCTCTCTACAAAGAGGCCGGCCTACCTCGGAGGATTTACTAGCATCAAATTCCTTCTAGGTAATACATTTCATCTTCATACCATCATCCTTGGTGTGGAGACTTAGAGGTACAAAATCTTTGGTACTTTTGGAGTTCATTTCCTCACATTGTCAAGGAGTAAAAGATAATCAAAAGGAGAAAAATCGCAAGGAAGATCCAAGGAGCTAGGTGGTGACTTGAAGGCCCTTCACTTAGGTGAATCTCTTGTGTAAACAACGATGAGCTTTAAGGGTAATGAATCTCAAAAAAACTTTCTTCCCTTTAATGTTGTTAAAGAGTCTTGTGGTTTACCATTCACTAGACATTGAAAGTCATGTGTGTTGAATGCATGCCTACTTTAAAGTGTTAATTGTTAGCTTATATGTTCAAATATTCTCACTTGTTCTTATCTAGGACAAAAACATTTCTTCAAGTGGTGTCTGTCGATGCAAATTTTTGTCGTCTCTAGCTTTGATGAAAATGCACTTGTAAAACAATCAACACTTTTGATCAAAGACTTAAGCCTCACGCGCCCACGAGGTGGGGGGGTTTGGCCAATGGATCTCTGATGCCTAAGTTAGTTTTTCTGGTAAGAGTAAAGTGTTTAGGGCTTCTTAGGGTAGCAAAAGCTTACCTAAATTTGGTAGAATATGGGGTATATATAGGAGGAGAGGGCTGGCCATAGTGTTAGGGTTTTACCCTACACATGGCAGCATCCTATAGGCCAAGGTTTATGGAGAAATATTCTTAAGATATTAAATAGGAAATAATATCTTGAGATAATGGAGTAATTATCCCTAATTATTTAAATTGGGATTACTTACTTGAATGAAGTCAATATTCAATTGGGAAATGTATTAAAGATAGCATTTGGGTAATTAATCATTATCTTTAATGCTTTGACTTTTCCTTGCCAATGGCAGGTGAGCTACTAAGACCTTTAGGGGTGTGAGCTGCGCATGGGAGTATCTGAGGAGCCTGCCCATTTAATGAGGGCAATCTTATCTTTCTTGAGTAAAAGTCCATGTGTCGCCTCTAGAATTTTTGGGATTATTTTAAGCTTCACAAATGCTCCCACACCTGTTGGGCTGCACGTAGGAAAAATGGCAGTAAGTGTAGAAATCCCAAGCTGCATGGGCTTATAAAGTTTTCCCAATTTGAACTTGATCTCCTTACTTGATTTGGAGATAGATTTCTTCTAGGAAAAGGAAACCAATTGCCCCCAATACCTATTTAATTATGCCTTAATTAGGGGATTAAATAAATTTGGAGAACAATCATCATTCCAACAAGGAAGAGAGAAGCTAGAGAAAATTTGTTCCCCTTCCCTTAGCTTTCTTCTTCTCTTGCCCTTGCAAAGAGTCGTTTCTCGTTGTTGTTCTTTTTCTCTGTGCCGCACCAAGGTAAGAAAATTTGAATTTTTTTTCTTCTTCTTGATTTTTTAGGAGTCTTGGACTTGAAAAATTGGCTCGGCAAGGGTCGAGAAGGCATGAAGGATGTGGCAAGGGTGCCATGGGGCTGTTGGGCACAGGTGGTGCAACACGAGAATCGGCTGGCGTAGGCTAGGTGTTCTACTTGGCTCGACCTTAAGTAATAGGGGTGACCTTAAGTAATAGGGGCGTTAGGGCGAGGAACTTAAGCGAGCTGTAAGACTCTAGCCCATTTAGGCTTAAGCTTGGCGCGAGCCAAACATGGAGAAGTAGTGGACGAAAGGGAAAAAGACCGGCATAGGCCGAGTCTCACTTCCTGGCAAGTTAGGGTGAGAGACCTTGGGCTCTATTGGGTGTGCTGGGTGCGAAAGATATGTGGTAGGGGTCCGGGCCTTGGGGCCTGGCATGCTGCTGGGCTCCTGCCGTTTGGGCCCGCGCTAGAGGAAAGAGATAATGAGGGCTGAGCCCTCAAGTGGCCTTGTGTGTGAGCTAGGTCGTAGGGCCTAGCACTGGGCTTTGCGGTTTTTTTTTCTTCATTTCTCGTGAACTGCCTTCTAAGTATTTTTCTTGCAAAGATTTTGAGATGTCTTCCTCTGATTGCAAAAGTGATGAATACCCTCCACATTTATACCGTCAAGATGTTTCTTTCGGCAAGGTGGGCTACTTCAAGGCTGCACATGTTAAGATTAATTTCGATGAGCTGTTTTGGGATTTTCTTGAGATGTACAAACATGCAATTCCGTCAAGGGTTCACATTAAGCGGGTGAAAGATGATAGTGGTCATGAATCGTGCGACAATGATGCCTCTGCTAGGAAGAAGGCTATTAAATTCCATCAGTATTACTTTGCGTTGGGATTTACTTTCCCTATGCCGCGTCTTTTTCAGGAGGCGATCTGCTCCATGAAATGCTCGTCTACTCAGTGCTCCCCGAATGCAGTCCGTGAGATAGTGATGTTCTCGAACTTAAGCAGGTTCCTTGATCTTGGCTTGACCATAAATAAGTTCCGGTACTTCTTTGAAATTGGCCATAAGAAATATGTGGGGCAACTGAGGACTCACCATAGGCTACTTAATGCTTCCTGGAAAGGTGATCATATGTGGACGAGAAATACTTTGGAGGTAAGTAGAGAGTAGGAGTCTAACTCATTTCTTAAGCTGCATGTTCCAACTGTCTTTATCAGTGGTAAGTGAACTGCTTCATTCTTGGCCTGCTTGAACTCTTTGTTAAGCTACTCTATGACTTTATTTTATTGATTGTCCTTCTTACTTTGTGTAGATTCAAAATTTGGCTCATCTCCAAGAACTTCGGCAAATATGAAGAAAATGCACATCACCTTGGGAATTCTTGCTGAATACCGTGAGTGGCGCTGGCTGCTCAGTCCTCTTCATCTGGAGAAAGACGGGCTACCTCCGAAGGAAGTGATAAAACGAATAAAAGATAAGGCACTTGCTCTCCCGATCTCTACAACAGAGCCTACTGCCAATGAGGTTGGAAAAAAAAGATCCTTCG